CTCTTAATACCTTATGTAAGAGCTGTGGCCTAGTTGTTAGTGCTTTGTCAGCTGTAACAACATGTGTTGCAATTTTCAAATCTAACATCGTGCCATGGGATGCATGCCTCAGGGTATTTACACGTAAGAACTTGAACAAATATTAAAACTATACCAATGTGACAAATTACATGCCTTCACTTCCACATGAAGCTTGAATAAAGGTCAGTTTTTTTAATTAAATTCCTGTTAAGACTACACCGGTCACAAAATTAAAATGGTGGCTTATAGAAAAAAAGCATGTTTCTGGACTATGCTAGTCAAACTATCACCTATTTAGAGTTACAAAATCATGGTGATGGCAGATAAAGATGTGTAAACTTCAAAACTTGACAAAGCACTAATCGGACACTAGTAATTAGATATCTATAGTATCCCTTTTGCCATACATAATAGCAGACAACCTTTCAGCTCTATTTCTCGGTTTGTAGTTTTCTTCAAAGCAACTTGCAAACAGTAACTCCTCAAAAGCAATGTTTGTTCTTATGAAGACTTTTTTTTTTTTTTCAGCATAGAAATCTTGCCAAAATTAACTCTAAAGTAAGACTCTTTTTAAAGTGATGCTAAAACACCTTTAACTTATAGGTAATCTGTCATAGGCAAAATCTCTCTGTAAAAGGGCTTGACATTCAACCTGTGCTAATAGTTTCTCTAACAAATGTATAGATTTTGAGAAACCTCTAAATATCTTTACGCTAGTCATCTGCAGACACTCAATGCCAAGGAAGTGTAGGAGTGTATAAAGTCTCTGCGCTCCTTCCACATCTGCCGGCACTGCTAATGCTGGCTTAGGAGAATAGGAATGGAGTGATGTCATTTCATGTTCATATCAATGAAGAGCAGAGGTGGGATCGGGAAAGTGAGTTTCCCTTTAATGGTTCAAAGATTTGTTTTAGCAGTTACTCAGTCCAGATTGATTTCTGTCAAATGGCACCTAGTAACTCCTTGTTGCTTTACCTACCTGCTCTTGAAACAAAGCTGGCACATAAGTGCTAATCTGATATTGAAATAACTTTTTAAATTGCCAAAAGATTTTGGGTTTAGGTTGTCAGTTGACTGTTCTTAAAGGGACCTGTATCACTGACAGGTTTGTGGGGATTTATATTTTTTTAAACCAGAAAGCAAACACTTACAGAGCATGAGGACATCCAGCATCAGTTAGGTGACCAAAGGTCTGTCAGCCACAATGTGTTGTCTGACTGCCACCAAAGGCAGTCTTAGTCCTGCAGTGTAATTATGCAGTTTCTCAAACTGCAATGAGATAGATAGATATAGACAGTGCAACAGACCACTTCAATGAGACAAAGTGGTCTGGGTGACTAGTGTCCCTCTAACAATATGCAAAATTGAAAACTGTAAAACATCTTATAAAGTTGGTCAGATTGCATTGTTGAGCATGTCTTGGCTCAGTTGGCTCAGCCTTCCCATGTCTTTCAGACCAGTATGCTAATGACCGAATTAGGGCATCATCTTGCAGCAGGAGAGAAACTAGACACTGTTGCCTGCTCTGTGTGAATCCATCTGATCACACTCCCTGTCTTCATCCACCTTTCAGTATATTGCGAGGTGAAGAGATCTCCTAACAGCAGATGTTAATCTGTTATGCCCAATGCACTTTCAGCATTCCTAGGGATAGCACACTAGTACGTGTCCCCCTTCGAGTGGGTGTGCAAAGCATAAGGAACAAGCAGTAAAAGTGAAAATATTAAACCTAGCTAAATATTCAACCACTCTGTTTCTCATTGGCAGAACCTGTAATATGAAGGGTATTGTCCCAGGTTTATTGCCTATTGGTGTATTTTGACTGGGTTTTCAATTTGTGGCATTGCACGGTTCTCCAGCTGTTGGGGTGGCTATATTTTGAGTTTGTGGTATGGCATAATTAATATGGGAGTGTCTAATATGATGGATTAAAATTGAAGAAACACCTGCTAGATCAAAGCTTGGAAGCCTGACAGACGCTGGAGGAGGGAGATTGGATCCCCAGAGAAACATGTCACAGCATGGAGATCTGCTGAATTTACAGGGTTTGAGACTCTCTACTGAAATCCAGTTATCTGTGTTGGTTATGTGTACTTTTTTTTTTTTTTTTTTTTAAATCTCCTCAAACGCCTGCTCTGCACAGCTTTTGTACATACTCTACAAATACACTGCCCCTGCAGGAATTGATGAAAATGGATGGGTTTTAGGATCTACGCTAACTTTAGCTGTGCGAGCTTACTGAATTCCTTTTCTGGTGCAGCTTAAGTGACTAAGAAGGGAGGATCCAGAGTTGAAAATCCACCCAGGCTGGGAATATTGTGAGGTAGTGAACAACTTTCTTGTCAGATGAGATTCTCAATCCACCCAGTCATAATAAACATACAGCTGCACCTGTGTCATCTTGATCCTGTACATATGCCAGTACCTTAACTTGGTCCAGTGCATAGCCAGTGTCTGGGTTTGTAATACAAAATTCAATTTGTTCCATATAATCTAGGCCTTTCAGACAAAGGTTGGCAGCCTGCTTAACCCCTTAAGACCGGAAGGCGTACTATTATACCCTATTCTAAGCGGCTCTAAACGCCACTGGGCGTAATAATACGCCCTCCGGTCTTTTCCTACTTGCCCGGTCGCCGGAGATCGCGGTGGGGGGGAATCCCAGGGAGCCCCCCGCGGCACATCCGACCCCCTGGAAGCCCCCTGGCCATGTGAGAGTGAGGTCCTTGCGAGGACCCCACAATCACATGGCCAGGGGTAGCTGGCTGCAGTATTGCCAGCAGGGGGACTGCCGCTAATGACAAGCGGTCCCCCTGCTGGCTGGAAATTAAATAAAATTAAAAGTGTGTGTGTGTGTGTGTGTACACGTACACTGTCTAGGTGTATTTTACTATTAATAAATATCTCAAATTACACAGACTGATTAAAAAAAAAAAAAATATATATATATTAAAATAAAATTAATAAAATAAATAATTAAATATAAAGATGTGTTATTTTGTTCTAGCTGTATTGTGAAAGTAATATATATATCTATATACATAAATATATACATATATATCACTATACCTATATAAATAAAAATATTTTTAAAAAATTATATAGATATATACATATACCCATACGTATGTGTGGGTGTGTATATGTATATTTTTTTACATAATTAGGTATCTTAATTACAATTAGCGGGACCTGCCTGACAACCCATGCCAAAAGTAAAGGGAATTTAATTTGCTAGCACTATATTTAACCCTATAACTTTCCAAGACACCATAAAACCTGTACATGGGGTATTGTTCTACTCGGGAGACTTCGCTGAACACAAATATTAGTGTTTCAAAACAGTAAAATGTATTACGATGATATCGTCTGTAAAAGTGACGTTTTTTGCATTTTTCACGCACAAACAGCACTTACACGGACGATATTATTGTTGTGATACTTTTTACTGTTTTGAAACCCAAATATTTGTTCAGCGAAGTCTCCCGAGTACAACAGTACCCATCATGTAGAGGTTTTATGGTGTTTTTCAAAAGTCAAATATAAGGCTTGCGTTTCATTTTTTTCACGTTAAAATTCGCCAGATTGGTTAGGTTGCCTTTGAGACCCTGTGGTAGCCCAAGAAAAAGACTGGACATACCCCATTTGCAATACCTTGAGTTGTCTACTATTGCAAATGGTATGTCATTATGGGTGTAAATTTCATTCCTAGGCTACTATAAAGTCCCAACATAACCAATCTGGCGAATTTCAATTTCAAATGTAACGTGCTATATTTGACCCTGTAACTTCCCAAAACGCCATCAAACCGGGGCGGGGGGCGGGCTGGCAGCTAAGGTGGCTGGCTGCACATCTCATGAGCTCCTGCAATAATGAGCAAGTACCGAGTGACCCACTAACGCCAGAGGCATACAGTGTTCGGGAACCAAAATGGTACTGGCCCGGCACCAATACGTGGCGGAAAAATCAACGCCGGCCATGCGGCCTAAACTGGAGCGGGGCCTGAGGTCCGGAGGAGATGGCCAACCTCCCTACACGAGCCACGCGCCCAGACAAGCACCCACAGCAGCCCTGCTACCCCATCCCCACCCTCTGGACCGGCGGGGGATATCCCGGTCCTTGCGGGGGAAGAATGCCCCTGAACAAGCGATAACACTTAAGACAAAGCGGACTCGCCAAGATGGCAGCACAGACAAGATCCACAACACAACGTGCACTCATCAGGCCTCCCAAACACACACAGGAGTTCTACGACCGGCTCTGCGACAACCTCTGGACAAAGCTGAAAATCCGGAGGCAGTCCTACAGGCTGATGATGAGACAAATGGCGGCATGGATCCGCCCGGCAACCCGGCGCCAGCTAAGCGGGAACCCCCCCCGTACCTCCAGAGCAGCTCCCAATGGGAATCGGAGCAGAAGCACAGCATGGATGGAAACAGGGCCTTGTCTCCTGGGAACCGGAGTTCGCGCTCCCACACCCCAGCGCAGATCCCTGCGGCCCTCAAGGCGGGTACAGAATCCATGTTTCCCAGACGCAAGCTCCCACTCGCAGCTACACAACAGCAAGACCCCCTTACAAGCGACACCTGCGAAGCACTCACCAACTCAACCTCTCAGTGCCTGGCACAGCACAATGCGACCTCCCGCCACCAACGCTGCAAATCGAGAGACCAAACGACAGCGTACCCCTCAGCACACCATCAAAGCTGCATCCAGATATGGAGGCACCCTGCCCAGAGTTTCCAAGAGAGACACTTGTAGAAGCGGCGGCCGGGACTTCCCGACATTGGGCATAGGCTGAAAGCCCCAACGTAAAGCCCTACAAGGACAATGCCTTACATCAACTGATGACTCTAAGTTTTGTTTTTTTTTGTTTATTTTTTGCGGTTTGTCTTTTATACATAGACCTGTGATGCTTTGTAGCAGCGGCCATTTAGCTCTAAAGCGGCCACATGGCCGCAGCTATGGGGAAGTAAAAGCGCCTGCCTGCTTGCCTAGCAATTACCTGCTTCCCTGTAGGGGTTTTATCTTCTTCCCAACTTGTATCGCACAAGCATGTAGCTAACTTTGTTTTTACCTAACCACCCACATGTATAGCTAACCTATACTGAATGCAGAACCCATAGCTTCACATAATCAGACATACATGTACAGCCTGGAACCCAACTATAAAACGAGTGTACTAACATTAAACTTTTGTTTTAAGCTAACACTTCTCCTAGATTCCCACTCTAGCTAAACAATCCCATGCTGTCAGTTAGTTTCTAGAGCTTAGTATATTGTCGAATTATTACTGACATAGTTTTAACGTATCATCTATTTGCTATATACCTAAAAATTGTGTCTAGCTCGATCCAACATAATAACAAAAAATGTGCAGATTCCAAGTGCCGAATTGAATGTTTGTTGCTTACTCTGAGTGCTGTTGTGGCACCTCACATTTACCTTGCACAGTAAAAATAAAGAATTTAAAAAAAAAAACCTGTACATAGGTGGTACTGTTTTACACGTGAGACTTTGCTGAATACAAATATGTCCTTAAGGGGTTAATAGAAAACAAAGCTATTTATTACATTTTCAATTCATTTATGGTGGTAACTGCCTGCTCTGTAACATTCTAATCCTTTCAAGGGGCTTTTTAAGCACAATATCTCTACCTTTTCAAGCTAGTAGGCTGTATGTGAAATCTAGTTTTGTGTTAGAGGGTTGCTGCAGGGACCATGACCACGTCAGTGATTTGATGTGGGCATGGTGCTTGGAGTAACCATCTAAGTCTGTGTAGCTTTTCCTATGAAATGCTGCACATACAGAGTTTAACTCCACCTCTGGTAGCATAATTAGCCCAGATTTTTTTTATTTATTTTTTATTTTTGGCTCGATTTACTGTTGCATTCATTTGAGTGCTCAGCTGACGTTTAGCAAGTGAACTGCCAGCAGTATCTGCATCTGATAATTGCTCTGTATGTTGCTATTGTGAAACGTCTGCAGTAGCAAGTTAAGAGTTAGACCACATGTGTGAATGGCGGGCTTGCTAGCATAATCACTGCCATCTACATTTCAAACAAATGGCTATTGCTAATGCAGAAGCCCTCAAGTACAAGTGGGACCGGAAAACCCTAAAGCCTTACACCTCTGTAACAGGAAGTAATGGTGCATAGACTACCCTCTTATCACATGGCAAAATGTACTTTGTCTACCATGAGTAGAGTTTGGGCAGTTCCCCAAGGAGGACACAACCAATGATTTTAAATAAATAATAATAAAAAAAAAAATTACACAACCATTTCAAGAGATACTCTGCTACCTTTCCTTCAGCTATGTTGAACTGGCAAACTGATAAATGCAGCAGAAAATGCCTCAACAAAGTTACAATAGTTAGGACAACAATGGTGATCATCTTAATGTCTGGATGGTTGGTGATGTATAAAAGCAGGTTTATTCTTAAAACTTTGGGGGTAGAGGGTGTGTCCCAAATGTTGGTGTGAAATTTAAATGAGCACTGCCTGGCTTGGAGCCCCTGTGCAGTCTGGCTCCCCCTCCCCAGCTGCTCTTAAACGCAAAGAATTTGCTTGAGCTGCATACATAGGCTTAGAGGGGCAAACCTTAGCAAGTAATGCAAAAAAATATTTATGTAGCATTACTCTGTATAGGCTGGGAGCACTCATAAAGCTCAGCCAATCACTGCTGTTCAAGAAAATGTTTGCATTTGAGTAGAGGATGAACCCAGACCAGCCCCTGGGGAACTCCCACTAAAACGTTAAACCATTAAAAAAAATCTTAAAGGTGAGGTTAGTTGACTCTGGGCACAATTGCCACTTCATTGAGTAAAGTGGGATTTTAATATTAGTTATAAAATAATCTTGCATGATGCAAAAAGTTTTAGTATGAACATGTATAAACATCTAACTGCTATTTTTGTTTCATAATTCTTCTAGGTAGTCCGGAGCCGGCTAGAACATAAAGGTATTACTGTCCACAATGTGCGGTTAAATGGTTCTGCTGCCAGCCATGTCCTTCACCAAGACAGTGGATTAGGTTATAAGGACCTTGATCTAATATTCATGGTGGACTTGAAACAACCTGATGCTTTCCAGGTAGTGAAGCATGCTGTACTGGATTGCCTTCTGGACTTTCTGCCACTTGGTGTTAACAAGGAAAAAATAACACCTATGACTCTGAAGGAAGCCTATGTACAAAAACTTGTTAAGGTATGTACTGAAAGTGACAGATGGAGTCTTATTTCCTTATCTAATAATAATGGCAAAAACATGGAGCTGAAATTTGTAGATACACTCAGGCGCCAGTTTGAATTCAGTGTTGACTCCTTTCAAATCCTTTTGGATTCCCTTCTAATGTTCAACCAGTGCTCTGATAAAACAATGTCTCAGAGCTTTCACCCCTCTGTGACTGGTGAAAGCATGTATGGAGACTTTGAGGAAGCAATGGACCACCTACGCAACAAGACCATTGCAACACGCAATCCAGAGGAAATCAGAGGTGGAGGGCTGCTCAAATACTGCAACTTACTGGTGCGGGGATTCAAGCCAAAGTCTGAAGTGGATATGAAAACAATGCAGCGATATATGTGCTCACGTTACTTCATAGATTTCCCAGACATAAGGGAGCAGCTACGCAAACTGAGGTGTTACCTACAAGACCACTTTGTAGGAATGGAGGACAAAAGATATGACTGCCTAATGACCCTTCACCATGTAGTGAATGAAAGCACGGTGTGTCTCATGGGACATGAACGTAGACAAACACTTGCCCTTATTGCCTCCTTGGCAGTACAAGCGTTATCTGAGCAGTCTGTCCAAGCAGTTCCCAGTTTCACCTGCTACTACCAGCCAGCCCCCTTCATAAGTGATGGCAACTACAACAGCTATTATTTTACACCTGTCCAAACTGTGATGCCATGCAGCCATTCCTATCAGACATGGCTTCCCTGTTGTAACTGAGCAAGCTGGACTGTATTACACCCTTTCTTTGCCTGCCCTACTGCATTTTAACTGAAAACTTGGGAAGAATTTGGCTTCATTTTTTAATTAAGATATGTGCACTTTGGTACAAGCTTGTGAATTTTTTACATAGATCATGCAATGATTTCTTATGTATATTCTCAACCTGCCATTTAATATAGAACAAATTTTCTTTATTCTGCTCGTGAAATACATCAAATATGGGCATGTTTCTTAGATACAGGCTTTTTACACCTCATTTTTCCACTTTATAAAAAAAAAAAAAAATTTTTTTTTTTTTTTTTTTTTGGGACCAAAGAGTAAAGAGCTAGCTCTAAGTGCCTGTATCTATGCAACACAAGGGTAATCCCTGATTGTTTTTGCTTCCAAAACCAGTCCTGTAGTTTGGTTTAGTATTCCTATTCCTGTATATTAGGTGGGGGGGAGGGGGTTGGTTTTCTCCTCCTAAGTTGGTTTGTCAGGTTTAAAAGAGCAGATCTCAACTTCTTAAATGCAGTTTAAGATCTAATCCATGCCTGATTCTGTAGGGACTCAATATCACTTTCTTCCTTCATAGATTTGTTACAATGTTTTAAAACCTATAACAATTTGGATGTTGACTGCCTGAGTCACTGGAAAGCTTAGATTGCAAGTTAACCATTGATCTATATGAACATGGTGTTCTCCGTTTACTGTAGCTTTACTTGGCACATCTAGCAGAGCTATCAAACTTTTAACACTTCAACCGTTCAGCTTTTGGTCAGAGTATTTTCTGACCCACACTCCTGTGGCTTTACAGACTTGGTGTGACATAACCATCTGTGATGCAGCTCCTTTTCAATACAGCAGTGTTCTTTTGATGTTTTGGGTTAGTATTTTCAAGAGTCTGCCTGGCAAAGATCTTTAATGTGCAGAGTGACTTATAATACAGTTTTTTCATGTCTCTTCAAATTTTAAAATGTACATATACATTCTTTGTAGTGACCAAACGGTGTGGAAGTGTTGCAGTTGTCCTAATGCAAAGGCATGTGCTAAAATAGTGTGTGGGTTTAGAAGAGCTGAATGATCATGAATAAAAAAAAAAAACTTTTGTGGGATAAGAGCAGCAGCAGGAAGTACCTGAACATCAATGCCAGCAAACTTTTCAGAAGATGGCCAGCAAAGACTGAATTATTAGTCCACTACTGTGCAACAATGACCTGGCCAACTGATGTAAAGCATTCATCTAAAACTTGGTAAAGTTCTTAAAATGCAGCTTCTACCTACAGAAGTTTGACAAACTCTAACCCTTGCTGACACCCAACACCATAACTTCATTCCCCAAACTAAAAATTACACTTGTCTTCTATGGAAACTTATCCTAGAACTGCCCTGCAGGATGTCAAGGTAAAGTTTCACTGAATGGCTTGGTAGTAGTGGTGATGCTTCCTACATCTCGCACGTCTGCAGAATCAAGCTTAATGTTAACTCTGAGCTGCAAACGGTTAGAACAGACCACTTGCATTTACAAGCAAATAGCTGTTGGTACTATACAGAGCATGAAATAAACTAACACTGCCACTTGCCAGCATTGAGTTATATTGCATAAATAGACTGTATGGCAGCTATAGGAAAGTAGCATTAAATCTCCGGTTTGGCACATTTGTGGTCAGTTTTACACTGTCATGTTAACTGTTCTGTTAAGTCCCTGTTGGCTAGCAGCATGGATGATTTTAATGTCAACTATCATTAAAATACTATTTCATGCTGAAAATAAACATTTCTTTAGTAGCTAGACCTAAAGAACACATGCACATAGTTTATGCATGTAGTCATTGGAGGGCATATTTTAGAACGGTTTGCAAGCCCTCCCCTTTGTCTATTTACAGGTAAATAACCAATCAGAGGCTCTTCATTGACGAGCCTCTGAATCTGTGTGCAGGTTCATCTGGTCTGAGGTCCACGGAGAAGGCAGGTGTGCTCAAAGAGCTAACTTAAGGAGGAAGCAAACCTCCATGGAGGTGATTAATAATTATGAAACTGATTTCTCCATAGGATACTAATTGCAGATAAAGCATTTCAGCAAGCATTATCGATGTGGAGTGGTCCTTTAACAAAATGGGCCTCTCCCTGGGAAGGCCCACACGGCATTCAATAACACTCGAGACACTGACTCTGAGGAGTCTAGATGTAATGCAGCAAACCAGGTTTACAAGTCAATGCTCTGTTTTGCACTTGTTTTTTTCCTTCTAAATTATATGCATTTAAACACTTGTTTCATGCATTATAGGGAACTCTTTAAAATACTCTTCAGAATATACCTAATCTATATACATCCCAATATCTGCTCCTATACTGAATTTTTTGACTCTAAATTCCTACCTGAAGAATCAGTAGTACTTTATAGATGTAGCGGTTTCACAGCTCCTCAGCTTTCTAGGAAATGTTGTGTATTGCAAAACCTTGCACTGTCTAAATTGGCTTATACAATTTCTTTGTGGTGTGTCCTAAATTTCCTCTTGCTGGAAGTGATTTTTATAAAAAGGATGGCGATTGGGTCAAAGTTGTATCTTGCTTTTTATCACAATGTGACATGTTCTAGCTGTATCTTACTAGCAAGCTAATTTTTGCTACTGTCTAGGACAGGGGTAGGCAACCTACGGCACTAGTGCAATGCACGGCAATCAAGGTGTCTTTGCACAGCACTCAAGGCTGCTAGAGCCAAACAGGCTCTGGCCTATCAGAAGTCCCAGTAAAACTTTAGATATCTGCTAATACAAAAAAGTGGTGAATGACAGTCCTCAATTTATGCATTGCAGCATGTAGAGGAAGTGATCTTGGATCTGTAGTAGAGCAGCCTGCAGCTCCTGTCCTTTACCTTTACCAGGCCAGCCTGGTCCCCACTGGAACCCAGGAAAGTCACCCACACTACTAGATCTACAGACATGCAGAATACCCCTCCCTTCATACAAATAATATAAACAGCCTGCTAACAATCCACATACATGCACACAACCCCACATGCAGCCTCTCACGTGCAATACCCCAAACAGCCCCACACATACACACACTACCAAACACACAATGTGACATATCCATCCACACACAATTCCACAAGCAGCCGTCATACACAGCCCACATTCATACGTATCATACACAATACCATAAACTACTAATGAACATATATGATAGCTCCTATACACAAATACAATAATACAAAGCAATCACAGTAAAAATAACACAAGCAGAATACGGCAGCATACACACCTCAATTTAAAAAAATAGGACCGGCACACTACGGGACATCACACTCCTATATCGGCACAGTGCTGCTAAAAGGTTGCCTACCTCTGGTCTAGGAAGTCACTAAAATGGGGGGGAGGAATAACACATTCAATTCCCTTTTTATTTTACCGATTTTTGAATATTTGTATCTTTTCTAAATGCCTGAAGTAAACCCTGCACTTTTGTGAATGTGCCATAGTGATCATATCCTTGAATTTTAGAATTGACTAGTAAATCTCTATTTCTGGGTTTCTCTTCACAGTATAGATATTATTTTTTTTTTTTTATTATTATTTTTTTTTGTAGTTCTGGTGAGGTATAATCCTTATATGCAAGCATTTTCATGCAAACACATTGCCCCTAGGGACACCTCCAAGTGCCCACTCCTCAGATGGCCACTGGCTGTGCTTCCTGGCGTGGGGGCACGCTGAATTTTCCTTCTCTGGGGTGCTGTTTGGCCCTGCCCCTTGCGACTGGATAATCTGCAACTTTGATGTTGTCATGGGGTGGAGCCAGTGCCAGCAGACCTGTGCATTGCTGGAAATGAGGGTTTTCTGGAGCTCTGAGTGCTTTTCAAGTTTTAGTATCAAAACAGAACTGGAAACCTGTCAGCCATACTTCCAGTTCAGCTACTCTGGTCTTAAATTTAAATTTCATTGAATTCTTAATTTATTAAACTTTTTTTTTTTTTTTTTTTTTTTTTTTTTTGAGCGGTGGGCTAGATTGTTAAAAACACCTGTAGTTCAGATCTGCAGGAACCATATAGGAAGCAAAATTACTTGCCTCCTACTTGGCAACAGAATCACAATGAGGATACTCCTTACATCATAACTAATACAGCAGGCTGTAGTGGTTATGGTCGGAGTAAACCTTTGTGTTTTGGTGCTTCATCTCTACATGAGTTTCAAGTTTGGGTCACTGCCCTGTCACTTCTCTAATTGAAATAGAGAAAAAAATATATATTATGCAGTACTTTTTTTTTTTTTTTTCAAATATTGGTAAACCATATCAAATTCCCATAGGCAGCAGAGTGCTGTACCTGGTCTAAAAGTCTAATTGTGTAAAATGAGTGCTCACAATGTTAGCAAGGAAGTGGATATAAACTAGGATCTGTCAGCCAAATGATTAACAATCTTTAATCCACTCTCGCACAAGTTAGTAAGGTGTGGGTTTTTTTTTTTTTTTTTTAACTCAAAGCAACTCTAGATTTGACATAATCCTTATTCCTGAAAGCCGTTTTGGAGTGTTGAGAATCTGGCTTTATAAATCTGACCACTTACCCCCTCCCCCCCCCTCCTCTAAACTGTCATAACTCTGCTTTTAAATTTTCTTTCATTCCCAAATGTTAAAATGTGTTTGCAATTTCTAGACAGACTATGCAGACTACATATAAAACCGTGTAGGTATTCCAAACCTTCAAATCTGGGCAGTGCATGACTTTAGTGTAGGTGGTGTCTCTACTTGCGTTTTTAACACTACCAGCTAGGGTAATGACTGTGGAGGAAGTATATAACTTGGGTGGCTGCCAATTTTTTTTCTCCCCTCCTCTGACCAAATTTAGGCAGCTCTCTCTCCAGATTGGGAGTGCCTGACAATTGGTGACTTCAGTCATTTTTGAGCTGCCTGTTCAGCTCATTCCCAGAAGCCCAGCTTCCATACTTAACCTCTTATCTACCCTTTTTTTTTTTTTGTTTTCTCAAAATCAGTGTTTACGGTATTGTCTCCTATGGGTAAAATTCTTACAACAAAATGTATTCCATGTTGTGTGTGCCTTTTTTATGTTTGTCTTGTTATGTATATAATTTTATTCTTTTATGGTAGCGGTGCCCATTGGTTTCAAGTACTCTTGTTTCAACTGTTCTGGTGTCTCAGACAATACTCCCATATTTTCTTTGCTGCAGAAGCGTAAAACTATATTTTTATGGGGTGTTTATTTACAATATATGTACCCCCTTTAGTTGTGGGGTTGTTATGAGCACTACAAAAAAAAAATAAAAGTTTATTTTCTCAGACTCTGACTCGTTCCTTAGTGGGGCTGCTAAATATAGCTTGTCTTGGGTGTGTGGGTTTTTTCCCTTTACTCTCGCACTCTCCTTCCCTCCCTCTAATGCTAGGACAGATCATAACAGGCCTTGTTTGGCTTGGAGAGTCCTGAAAATGCAACAGTTCCAGGCATGTTTAAAATGTCTCCTTTAGGGGGAAGAAATAAAATGTACGAATAACTCTGATTTGTAAAGATGGTGACTTCAGGATGGTTTTCTGGTTTTACCATAGGGTGGAACAGTCACCCATTTATTTTATTTTTATTTTTTTGTGTGGGGAACTAGTCAAATTAATGCAATAGGAGAACATGTTCAGCTGGGCACTGTTCCTGTTTTTAAACTGAGGGAATTCATGTGTTGATGCAAGAAAAATGTTTCAAACTAACAGAGCTCTCATCCTGCTGTCTGAGGGACAGGGTCAATTTGATGTTGGGGATGGCTATGAAGTGCATTGCTGTGCACCAAATTTTTTTTTTTTGATGAGCAGTGATAAGCAGCATTGAGGGTCTTCCACCCCTCCCCCCCCCCCCAAAACTTGCAGAGGTAATTTGTTTATAATGCACTTGACTGATATTTTAGAGCAAGTATGTCAAACTTAATACAAAGCCCTCTTCCTCCTCCCTCTCCCCCCCCACTCCAATTTAATACTTTTCTGCCTCCTGAACTTAATACACTATACTACAGGAAGTTCTCCTCTCCTTCCACCCCACCTTAAGCTGTCTTTCATTTCAGCCCTTTTCTGCATAAGCAGGCCACATGCTCCTCTAGCACTGTGAGCAGTGGGTAAAGGGGAGTGTCTGGCCTACACTGTAGCGCTGATGGATATGACTCATACAATGGCACATGCACTCAGCTGCGGCCCAGGGGAGGGTCACAGCACAAAGCAGCCCCAGGGCAGGCGGCCGGCCGATAAATTTCCTGGTATCCCAGAAGGCCAATCTGGCTTTGGGCTGCATGTTTGACATGCTTGTTTGAGGGGGTTACTCCAAGCATAACCCTGGAGCCCACTGTAGTAGTTATGATGTGAGTTCCTTGGTCCCTTTTCCCAGTAGTCTGGCAATTACAATGGTTTGCCCTACTACCTGGGCTAACTTAAATCTGGCTTCAGATGCCAACCCTACCACCCATTCATTGACTGAGATTATCAGCCAACCGCTCTCCCCCATGATTGCAATTCTGTACATAGGAAAATGCACAGAATTGATAAGCCCAGCACCCCAGCTAGGCTGACAGACTTGCCAGTGATATTGTCATGGTTTGGGTTACACCTCCAAAAGCAGATGGAAAATTTCCATATGTGCAGCATTTAATAGGGAAAGCTGTACATGGACTCCAGGCACCATGACCACTTCAAACCACTGCAGTGGTCATGGTGCTTGAAATAACACTTTACTACCATAGATATTTCTATTGCTGCATGTGAATGAGGGTACAGAACATTAAACTTTGTATAAAAAAAAAATACAATCCAGAAAAATTAGAATATTTTACAAAAACACGACATGATTCATAAAGGTGTTTGAATACGAAGATGGCAGTTGACTTTATTTCCAGATTAGCAATTTAAAAGGTTATATGCTTAATTTAGATGAATATAACATGAATGAGAATTATGGCATAAAAGTAGGAGAGAGCACTGCTTAGAAAGCTGGCTATCCTGGCAACTTACATATCAGGCACATGGGTGTTGCAGGGATAGCTTTACATAAAATAATATTTTTATAACTTCAAAGGAACCCTATCCCAAGAACGACTTGCCGCTGCTCTCTATAATGTCCTTCTGCATTACAGCAGATCGACTGGAATAAACTTGGTAAAAAGAAACCCAAAAAAGGGGGCAATTGGAGTGGCTAATCTAGAAAATGATGATCGCCAAAGAGCGCAAACCAACCCCAAAATATTTTTAGTATGTACATTCAGAAGAAAACTAACAATGAAAATGTAGGTACACTGAAAATAGCTTGTTCTTTATTTTGCAACTTTCACTGTGGTTTTTATTTTCCTACTATGACTCTGAATCTTTAAGCACCTGAATATCTTTGCCAATCGTCAGGGCAGGAGCTACCATAAGGCAGTACCAGCCAAGGAGTGCAAATGCTTGGTGTCCGGCAGGAGGGAAACACACAGTAATCCTGCCAATTACTATATGTAGTGCAGCCGAGCTCCAGGCCCGGTGCATGGGGTTACAGAAGAAATCAAGGGATCTCCCTGTCTGGCCCCTAGTGGGCCCAGGAAAAAGGAGGAAGATAAACAGCCGCCCCGAGGAGGGGGAAGTGGGAGTTCTCCTTCCAACTATTAGAGCGTTGCCATGTGCTACCATGGCAATGCTCTGATACTTCCCCAGAGAAGGCCAGAAAGAGCTATCTACACCCACTGGAGGTGCAGACAAAGCATATCTCCCAACAAACCACCAGGGTACAGGATTCCCCCGTTCCTGGCCAAAGGCAAGCCTCAGGGAGGAGGGAATACACTTTTTTAATAATTTTTTTTCCCTCCACATATTTCCCCCATCTGAGGCTCTATCTCTCCCATCTCAGCCCTACCTCCTCATCTTAGCTCTTTCCCCCCTTATTTTAGCCACTAGCTCCCCATCTCAACCTGGGCCGTCTTTAAGGTGGGGCAAAAGGGGCTGCTGCCACGGGCCCAGTTATTCCCCTTGAGCCCGCAACAATTTAATCAGGGGCCCACGGCCCTTTAATATTGCAGCACAGAACTATATAACTCCCTCATATAAAGATTGTGTAGGCAGGTTGGCCTGGCTGGGACTTGCTGATCTGAGACAAACTGTGCTTGTGGCGCGGGGGGGTGCCTAGGGCAGCACAAAACCAGGATACACCATTGTATGCATTCACACTGACACTATATACAAAAAAAAATCACATGACTCAAATACAAACATGCATTGATACGCAGGTCTTCACAATATACACATCTAAAGGAATGCCGTATTATATGAGAGTTATATTTAACATTTATTTAATGCACAAATATTTGGCCTTCAAAGGGCCTGGGATCTACTTTAGCCTGGGGGCCCCAAAGGCTCTCAGTCCGCCCCTGATTGACTGCATCACATTGAACAAAGATCTGTCAAGGCATGTTTGTATACCTATGGATTCAATAATATTCATTGTGTTTGCTGAGTTTGCATTGTGAACCTGTGGGGTTTGTTCACTAAACACTAGTCAGTGCAGTCCCATGAGATACTCCACAGGTTCATCCATGTATTATTCTTATTTTGTTCCCGCAGCCGGGCTCCTTTCTATTTTGTCATCCCCCCACGACCAGGCACCTGACATTTTGTATGCACACAACTCCTCCCCTCCGTGGCCAATTTTGGTCTGTTCTTCCCACACGGCCTGCTGGGAGGAAGTGAGTTCACATCACTTCCTCCCGAGTCCCAGCTGACAGGGTGCCGTGTGGGGAGGAGGAGGAGGCGGCGACACAAAGCTACAGCTGCACACGTGGAGGAGGTAAGGGACTCCCATCATCCTAGGTCAGCCAGCTCCCACTGGAACTCAGGAAATCAATCCTGCTGCATCAATAGTGAGTAAATAGGAGGGTGGATAAATTATGTAAATTGTTATTTATATATGTGTGTATATATGAGGTTGTGCATATATTTGTGTGTGTGTGTATATGTATAATTGTATGTGTACTTGTTTGTCAGTGTGTACTTATGTTTGTGTATCTGTATGTTTGTGTAATTGTGTACCTATGTGTATTTGTACTTGTGTGTCAACGTGTATGTGTAATTGTGTCGCTGTGTGTCTGTGTATATGTGTACCTATGTATATGTGTACCTGTGTGTCAATGCACCAGTGTGTCAATGCGTACCTGTGTGTATGTGTACTTGAGTGTCAGTGTACCTGCCTTTGTTCCTGTGTATCTGTCTGTTTTTGAGTGTATGCATACATGTGTGTGTTGCAGTGCATACATCCGAGCATTCCAATGCAAACGCTTCACAAAAATACATCCCTGTATGTGTGTGTGTGCATATCTGTGTCAATGTGTAAGTGTGTATCTGTGTGTGGCAATGCATACACACCTACATTCCATTGCCAACACTGCACACAAATATACCCCAGCATTCCAACGCTAACTCTGCACATAAGTACACAACTGTTAATCCCCATCACATTCTGTTGCCTTCCTTCACACATACTGTCACCTTCCACACACTCTGACCCCCTGCCTTTACCCTGCCACACTCTTAATAATCTCCCCATCCTGCCACACTCACCCATTGCTCTGCCACACTCCCCTCATCACAATAATCCCTCCTAATCCTGTCAGTCAGGACACTGTCACACTCACCCCCCAACCCTGTCACACTCAGCCTCCATCACTATGCCACACTCAATCACATTAACCCCTCCAATTCTGTCATACTCAGCCCCCCCCAACCATGCCACAGTCACCCTGTCACCTAAACCTCCCCTAATCGGGTCACGCTCACTTCCCCTCACCCTGTTACACTCCCTCCTCCAACCATGCCATATTCACCACAATCTGGTAACACTCACTCTCTAACCATGCCACACCACTCTGTCACATTAAACTCCTAATCCTGTCACACTTACCTCCCCTCGCCCTGTCACACTCCCTCCTCCAACCATGTCACACTCCCCGCCCAACCCTGTCTCATTCAACCCTCTGACTCTGTCACACTCACCTTCCACAGTTACCTTTTTACTTACTCAGGTAGACAATGCCAGACATACTCAGAAATACAGACAATACACATTGTGACTGCATGTCTGTGTTTGTCCGTGTGTGTCTGTGCATCAGTGTGATATTTATTATTGGGCACACTGACTGTGGTATTTATTAATGGGCACACTGACTGTGAAATTTATTAATGGCCACATTGTGGTATTTATTAATGGGCACACTGACCGTGGTATTTTTTAACGGGCACCTGGCTTGGCAAATGTTTAATGGTCAAATTGACTGTGGCATGTTGTGTTTTG